GCGGTCGATGACGGCCGTTATCGCCGCGGAGAATAAGCAAATAGGCTCATATGCTCTTGCGGCATGTTGACAATTTGCGTGCGATTTGCGGTGGGTCCCAATCCCGCAAAGTAGTTCGCAACGTCGCGACAAAAGTTCCACGTTTAACGAGATGGCGTTGATTTTGTATTGATTTCGACGTCCAAGATGGAATCCCTGCGATGTGATCTCCATCGGGCAGCTGGGTGGCACAGTGAGAGCATGTATACATAAGGATACAGTTGCGCTGCCGCGCGATTCCGCCACCGCGCCAGGGCGGGCGCGGGGGCGCAGGGAGAGGACGGGCCCTTGGGGGAAGGCCAAACGTGCACGGGCGTGGTCACAACCATGAACGCATCTTTCGGGGGGTGGACAGACCTCCTACCCTGACACGTCGATTAAGGAATTGGCCGTTTTCGATTCGCCAGAGGGCGTCGCGGCCGTCATTTTTGCGGGTCCAGGTCCGTCGGTTTCGGTCCCAGGCCGTTTTCACTCAGGGGAGGTTTACTAAAGGGAGGTTTGTCCACCGCCGAATCTTGGGCTCGATGCGTCGGAGGGCCCTCAGTGATGATTCAGGAGAAGCGAAATAGCCCGACGCACGCCAACCGCTGCAAGCGTGGTGGCGGACATAGAGGAAGGACACCCTGGAGGGTGGACCGAGGACGAGGAGGGGGAGGAGGAGAAGGTGGAGGATGAAGAGGAGGATGATAATCGGCAGATTGAGGGAGAGGAGTATTGGGCTCCTCCTCCTCCCTTTTTCTATCCCCCCCTCGTGTTCCTCCCCTCTTCTCCCCCCCGTCCCTCCTCCGCCTCCGCGCCTGGGTGTGTTGTTCCCCTACACTTGTCGCTCCTTCCGGCGCCTCTCGCTTCCCCTCCTGCCGCCTCCTGCTCTTCCCTCCTGCTCCTGCTGCTCAGGCTGCCCCCGCGCATCATTACACTCCAGGCGATGCTTAAGAAAACCCAAGTTTTCGGCCAGAGTCTCGATTATTCTTAATGTTTCAATGTAAATCTTAACATTTGAATGGACATTCTGGGTTTGATTTCAAATTCTGAGACTATGGATTTCTTAACCCATGATTTCTAAAGGATTTCGCAGGGTGTATTCTTACTCCTCCCGCTCCCACTGCCCCCCCATCCCGAGCGTTGCCCCCTGGCCGAGTGGCTCCCTCTCCTTGCTCCTTCTGCCCACAACGCCTCCTCTTCGCTCTCCCCGTGGTCGTCTTGCTCGCGTTCCTCTCCCTGGTTCTGCTGGTCCCGCGTTCCATACCCCTGTGCCTCCTGCTTCCTCGGACACCTCCCCGCTCGACAGGTATCTGGTGGGTGCGTGAGGGATTTCCCGTCCTGCCCGATCTGCATCGACACCACAGATCCCGATGCGCTGGTGCAGGCCGCGACACTGCGGCGATCAGGGGGGGAGACGGGCAGAGGTATGGGGGGAAGAAGAGGATGATGACTGAGTGGTGGGTCGGTAAGAGGATGGGGTGGGAGAAGGATGGCGGCAGGGAAAAGGATGAAAGAGAGAGAGAGAGAGAGAAAAAAAAAAAGAGGATGGGGATGGGGAGGAAGAAGCGGACGAGGGAGTAGAGGGGAGAGATGATGATGGGGAGAGGTAGGAGGTGGAGAAGGAATGTAGAGTTGTGGCTCCGTCAGCCCCGCAGTTCTCGGACGCGGACGCCTGGCGCCGTGTCGGATGACCGGAGGTCGCCCGGAAAGCTTCGTCGAGGATCAGCGCGTCGGTGCTTCCGTTCGGAGTATGAAAGCAATCCGCGCGGTTTATTTGGCGCCCCGCCGTGCCGCCCCACCCGACGGCCCGACGGCCCGCTCCAGTCCTCCCGCGTGCTGCGAGGCCGCCGCCCGGCGCGATCCAGCCTCCCTCGCCCTGCGCCTGGGCAGCAGCTCCCTCCCCCGACGTGCGATCCGACCCCCTCCGCGCACTGGGCCAGCCTCCTCCTCGCGCTGGCGTGGTGGAGGACGATCCATGGAGAGGAAGCACGTTGCCAAATCGTCTCCAGACGTCGAAAGCATGTGTCTCAGACACGTGTCAATCATGTCTCAGACGTGTGTCTCAGACATGTAGAACCACACGTGCCATGTCCCAAACATGTTGAGAACACTTTTTTTTTTCCGACATGTTAAACCAAGTTCAAATTCAATGGTAGGACTGTTAGGGTGTCCAGTGTCGTGGCATCCACAACGCTGGCGTTCCCCAATCCGGCGTCTTTACAAGGGGCCTGCCTGTTCTTGAAGAACCGGTGGGTGCGAGGCCTGCTCCGGCCAGCCTTCCCCAGGGTTGCCGGGCTGCCCAGCCTTCCTCGAGCTGCCCGGCCCTGCCCGGTCCTGCCCGGTCCTGCCCGGGTTGGACGGCTGTCCCGTTGCCAAGCACGGCAGCGCAAACCACAATTCCATGCGAAGCAATGCCAAACAATGCCAAACAGCACGAAGCAATGCCAAGCAGCGCCGAGCAGTGCCAGGCAACGCCAAGCAGTGCCAACAAATGCCAATCACTGCAAATACATGATGTGTAAATCATACCCAGCAGCTCCAGGCAATGCCAAGCAATGCAATGCAAAGCAAAGCAATGCCACGCAAGTCAATGCCAAGCAACGCAAACCAATGCAACACAACGTAAGAAGATGCCAAACAGTCAATGCCAGGCAATGCCAAGCAATACCAAACAATGCAATTCAACTCAAAGCAGTGCAATCCAAAGCAAAGCAAAGCAAAGCTAAGCAACGCGAAACAATGCTGATCAGTCCAATGCAATGTGATACAAAGCAATGCAAGACAATGCACATCAATGCCAAGCAAGGCAATGTCAGCCACGTAACGCAAAACGGTGCAAACCAATGCGAAGCAAAGCAACGCATTCAAACTATTGATTTACTTTACTTGGTTAGTTTCTTAATTTGACAACTTTCCCCTAATTGGGATCGCGCCGGGTGCATTTGTGATTTGGATCGTAGGGGGTCCTTCATTGTTTCTGGTCGGCGGCCAGTCGAATGGGGAATGGTAAAGAAACCCCTGAGCGGAAGACGGGGATTGGATGTATTTTCGATCTAAACCATCTACGCCCAGAGGGCTTCTGGGGCTTTCCTCGGCAAGCTGCTTCCTCCGCATCCTCCTCCTCCTCTTCCTCTTCTTCTTCCTCCTCCTCCCCCATCGAGGAGGAGGAACTTGAGCAGAGTGTCTTCGTCGTTCCCCTCCCCCCCCCTCTGGGGTGGCAGAGGATTCAGTTGCTCCGCCCCCGGGGGGGCCCTCCTTGTGTTTCGTAGTTTTCTCGCTTTTCGCACAGATCTGAAGGGGCCCTGGGACACGCAAATAAAACGATTCCCCATATTTTCCCATATTTTCGGGGTTTCTGTCTTCCCCCCCCCCCTGCCCATAGTTTCCCATGTTCTCTGGGGAATCGACGATTCATTGTGTCTGTGTGCTTCTTCCCCTCCTGAAGACCATTCGCTTGATCCACCCCCGGGGGGCGACCGCCGATGCCGGCAGCGCCAGCGACCGCAGGCCCTGACGGGCAGGGCGGGCGGGCGGGCCCCGACGGGGCGGCTCGGGCGGGCGGGCCCCGGGCGGGTCGGGCAGGCAGGAGGAGAAGCAACGAGCCCTCCTCCTCCTCCTCCTCCTCCTCCTCCTCCTCCTCCTCCTCCTCCTCCTCCTCCTCCTCCTCCTCCTCCTCCTCCTCCTCCCGTCCCCATGCCTGCCCCTCGCAGGTGCGCTTCTTCGCCGGCGGCGACGGCGTCGGCGACCCCGAGGGCAACTTCGCAGAGGTGTCGGTGCCCATCGGCGAGCTGGAGGCCGCGCCTCGGCCGCGCCCCTCGGCGGCCATCGTGATCATCGTTGCCTCCGTCGTCTGTCGTCCGCGGTCCGTCCGTCCGTCCGTCCGTCGTCGTCGAGCCGTCCGGCGGTCCTCCTCCTCTTGTGGAGGTCGATTAATGGAGAGGAAGCGTGTTGCCAAATAATTTCCAGGTGTCTCGAGGATGTGTTTGAAATGTTTAAGACATATAACAAGCATGTTTAAAACAAGTTCAGGACAGTTTTTCGACATGGTGAACACACTTGTAGTTCGATGATCGGACTGTTAGGGTGTCCAGTGCCGTGGCATCCACAATCCTCCTCCGTCGTCCGTCCGTCCGTCCGTCCGCCGTCCGTCGCCGTTGTCCTCGTCGTCTTTGGCGGACCCAGGCCTCCCGTGAGTGGAGCAGATCGCGCCAGGGATGGCGACGAGTCGCCCCCTGAAGCAGGAAGCAGGCCGCTCTGGGCCCCCGGACCGTCCACAAGCGGCCCAGGGCGAAGAGGCTGCCCTCGGGGAAGGCTGGATGCCCGCGTCACGAGATAGTGACCTCGGATGTCTGCGAGTGCCGAAGGCCTGGTGATGGAGGCCTCGAACTCCATGGAGGGCGGTCCACGCAGGGCCTCGAGGAGGACCTCGCCCTCGGCGGAAGCTGGCGAAGGGCCCGCAGGAGGCGCTGGAAGCACTGTGCAGGACGAGGGCAGGGAGACGCACTCCTCGTCCCCTCCTCTTGCCCCCTCCTCTCCACCACACCCTTCCTCGCTCGTCCCCCGCCGATGGCTCAAGGAACGGTGAGCCTCCTGTCGCCTCGCAGGCTGCCTCGCCCCGTCAGCCCTGGTGCGGGGCCGGCTGGCATGGGATGGCGGGGTCGCGGCACGAGGAGGACAGGAGGTTGGTGGAGAAGATCCACAGCAAGAGTGCCAGCACCAGCGCCGGCATCCACCAGCTCACCCTCGACGAGGTGAAGTCGGCCTTCAAGAGCCCAACGTTCGCGCGCACATGGTTCGAGGTCACTGGCGGCCCGATGCCTGCCAGCGTCCGTGTCGGCATGTCCGAGCGCCTGCTGCGGGGGAAGCCGCTGGTGAAGGAGGACGTGCCCGCGCTGGCGTCGGCGCCAGGTCAGGACGGGAATCAAGGACCAGCATTCCTCAAGGCGGTGGCGGCGGGCAGGTACGACGCTGTGCTCCACATGCTCGGCGGGCGTGACACGAAGCGGCTGGTGATGGCGACAGACGAGCAGAGTCGCACCTGCATGCACCTGGCAGCGCGTGAGGGCCACGTGGAGCTGGTCAACATCCTGGCCGACAAGGGCGCAGACACAGAGGCGCCTGACCGCTTCGGCAAGACCCCGCTCCACTGGGCCTGCCAGCTCGGCCACAGGCGAACTGTGGAGGCTCTTCTGGATTGCGGCGCTCGGGCAGACGCCGAGGATCGCCGCGGCTGCACTTCGCTGCACCTCGCTGCTTGCTCGGAGGACGCGACCATATGCCGGGTCCTCCTCGAGCGTCATCGCCGGCTGCTTGGACGCAGGGACTGCCATGGGCGCGGCCCGCTCTTCTACGCGGTGCTCAACGCCCATCCCGACGCACAGCAGCGTGCCACCCAGCTTCTCTTGGAGCACCAAGCTGAGGTTGCCGAGCAGGACGACTATGGCAGGGAGCCCCTCCACTACGCTGCGGAGGAGGGCCGGCGGCCGGCGGTGCAGGCCCTGCTCCGGCGCAGGGCGGACCCACGGGCCGGAGACAAAGTCTCGGGGATCACGCCACTGCAGCTGGCCTCCAACGAGCCGGTGCTGCGTGACCTCCACGCGGCGCTGGGCACGCCTGGGCCAGGCCACCATTTCGTGCCCGCAGGCCCTGCCAGAGCCGCGGTGATAGCTGGCGGGTGCGGCAGCGGCAGGGCGCTGCCGAGCAGGTCGCCATCTCCGGCCGCGGGCCGCCGGCCGACGGCGCCCGTGGGTCCCGCAGACCAGGCAGCCGGGCTGGGCCCCGGCAGGCCGCTGCGCTGGGCCGAGCCCCCAACGCAGGATCGGGGGCGGCCACGAGTAGAGGAACTAGGAGTGATATAGACATAATAACTCGGAGGTCCGCGCGGATTTCTCGGATCGGCGCTGGGGCCCCCTGGCGGCGCCTCCGGCGCCGCCCCTGGCGCGCTCCGCGCGCCAAAAAAGAGGGTCCAGCGCGGGTCCAAGAAATCCGCGCGGACCTCCGAGTTTTTATATTTATGTCATTTCTCGTTCCCCTCAAGAGGGGGGTGATGACTCGGGGGGGGGGTATCATAGCCGGCGTCATGGTAGCCCTCTCTTCTAATTTCAATGCGTCGCTCGGCCCCCCCCTCGTCTGCGCACATGCCTCGGGCCATGGTCTGCGAAGCCCCCTCTGGGGCGCCCCTCTCTTTGGACGCCCCCGACGCAGGAGATCCTCGGCGCGCCCTTCCAGGTGCTGCAGGCTCGCTTCGTGAAGATCATGGAGCTCGGGGGCAGAAAGTCCCAGGCACAGCAACATGTTCTGCCTATCTGCGGGTGGTGTCTGGGAGGGGAGAGGGCCCTCCCAAACCACACGAATATGTTTATATATATATATATACACAAGACTGCAGTGGCGCTTCGCGCCATGCACCTTGGTCCTGGAAGTTTGGTATGCAGGCGGAATGGCAGCAAGGTCAAGCCGACAATTTAGCGGTAACTCCTTGTTGCCTTTTCCGACATCGCCGTTATAATAATGTTATTCGTGTTCCTTCCTCCATGCTTCTTTTCCTTCATTCTCGCCATACCCTGCTCATTCTCCCCATCCTCCTCAGCTCTTTTTGTGGAGACTCCTCCTTGGAGAGCCTCTGGGGACCTCACACAAGTTTTTCAAGCTTTCTTAAGGCCTTCTGGAGGCCTCCTGGACGTGTTCTGGGGGCCTCTGGGGGCTTCCTCGGGCCACCCTGCCTCCGACCGCGGTCTCCCTGAACGACCGGGTTCCGATTTGGAATGCTTCGGAGGGTGTCTTGGGGCCATCTTGGGCGGTTGTGGGGCGATTTGGGAGCCTCCCAGGCGGCTTCGGACGCCCAGAAAACAGCCGTCTTGGAGTCGGGAAGCCAAAAAGAGGAGAACTTCAAAGTTCATAAAAAAACCAACAGAAAGTCAATGATTTTTGCCTCTTGGGGCCTTCGTGGGAGTGCTCTTGGAGGCCTCTTGGGACGTTTCGGAGCGATCTTTGGGGGTATGACGGCTTCTTGGGGGTCGTCGTGGACCGTATTGGGGCTGACTAGGGTCCGTTTCGGGAGCGCGCCGGAACGCCTGGAACCCGTCTGGGGCCGTCGTCGGGCTCTGGTGATGTTCTCCCGGGTCGTCTGAAGGGTTGCCCGGAGGCCCGGGGAGGGCCAAATTCATTAGGGGGAGGGCTTTTTCGGGCGTCCCTGGCCTTATAAAAATATAGGAATAGGAGCAAGACTGCATTGGCGCTTCGCGCCATGCACCTTGGTCCTTGAGGCTTTGCATATGTTGGTCGTTCGCGGCATCCCTAGTGGCGCCCTTTCCCTGCCGTGGTTTTCGGGAGTCTTCGAAAGCTCGCGAAAGCTCGGAAGGTCCCTGGCCCTTCCCAGGCCTCCGGGGACTCCCGAAAGCCGCCGGGTGCAGGGCGAAGGATAGGAGGGAGGGAATCTCGGGGAGCGAGGAGAGGGAAGCGGATGTGGGGGAAGGCGAGTGGTGGAGCGGCAGAAAGAGGAGGAGTAGAGGAGGAGGAGGAGGAGGAGGAGGAGGAGGAGGAGGAGGAGGAGGAGGAGGAGGGCCCAGGCCCAGAGGAGGAGCAGGAGGAAGGAAAGAGATGGCGCCGTCGGGGGGGTTCATGTGTACGTACACGCTTGCAGAAATGTCCGGCAGTGAATGACGACAAAGGCTTCTGTAGGCCCGCACGTTGGCCGGCTCGTGGCTGAGGTGCCCCGGTGCGCACTGCGAAGGAATGGCAAGCCATGCGAATGAATGCCAAGCAAACCGACGCAATGTCAAGCAACGCCGCAAAGCACAACGCAGTGCCAAGCCGAGGATGTCATGTTGCAGCGGGTCGCAACGGGGCACGCGAAAATAAGCACTTATTGGGGAATGCACCGAATCCCGGGTTCGCAACAGATATCTGGGAAATGTGGTTGCGAACCTGGGCTTCGGGTCAATTTGGTGGAACACGCCCTGTGGGCATTGTTGGAGACTTGGTGGGCCGGCTCGGGGCCCTCTCGAGCAGTTCTGGGGCCGGGCCGCGTTGGGGAGCTTGGACCCTCTACGGACCTTAAGGGGGCTACGTGGGCCCTCCTGGTGGCCTCCTGGTGGTCTTTCCGGGGGCCTCCCATTGCCTTTTTGGTCTTTGGATAATCTTTGGGCCATCCAGGCCGTCTAGAGGCTCTCTTGGGGGTCTCTTGGACCGTCTTGGGGCGATGCCGGAGTCCTTTTTGGCAGTTTTAGACGCTGCGTAGTCCCGAACAGCGAATATGCTGAAAATCTGCGTTTCCCCAAGGGAGTGAAGCGCTGAAGGTCCTTTTGAGGGCCTCCTGGGCCGTTTCGGTGGCCTCTGGAGGCCATCTGGGCCATCTGGGTCCTTTTTGGAGCGCTCTTGTGTTGTCTTGGGTCTTCTTATCGGCCTCTCTGATCACCGCTCTGATCGCTCGGAGTCTGCTGGCAAGACCCGGTGGGAGCGCCCTGTGAGGTTTGGGACGAGCCAGGCGACCTTCGGCAACGGTGTCCGGGGGGCCTGGAAACCCCGGATCCTGGGGGTCCTGTGTTGGGGGGAGGGATTCCACCCCCGCTCGCAAAAATATAGGAAGAGGAGTATTCCTAGTCATAGATTCTTATAAGGCCGGGGACGCGACCCCCCCCCTTTGGCCCTCCCTTGGCCTCCGGGCAACCCATCAGACGACTCGGGAGAACCTCACGAGAGCCCGAAGACTGCCCCAGGCGGGTTCCAGGCTTTCCGGCGCGCTCCCGAAACGACCCCAGACAGCCCCAATAATTACGGTCCACGACGACCCCCCCAAAAAAACGTCCCCCAAAGATCGCTCCAAACCGTCCCAAGAGGCCTCCAAGAGCACTCCCCAGAAGGCCCCAAGAGGCAAAAATCATTGATTTTCTGTTGGTTTTTGGTGAATTTGGGGGTTCTCCTCTTTTCGACTTCCCAACGCTCCAAGACGGCTGTTTTCTGGGCGTCCGAAGCCGCCTGGGAGGCTCCCAAATCGCCCCACAACCATCCGAAAGGGCTTCCAGGCCGTCCAAGAGAGCCCCAAAACGACACAACAGGTGTCCATGATGGCCCTAAGAGAGTCCCATGCCAGCCCAAGATGGCCCCAAAACACCTTTCCGAGTCATTCCAAATCGTGACCCGGTCGTTCAGGGAGACCGCGGTCGGAGGCAGGGTGGCCCGAGGAACCCCCCAGGCCTCCAGAAGGCTTCAAGAAAGTTGGACAAACTTTTGTGAGGCCCCTAGTGGCTCTCCAAGGAGGGGCCTTCGCAAAAAGAGCCGAGGAGGATGGGGCGAATGCGCAGGGTATGGCAAGAATGAGGAAAACGAAACACGGCATTATCATAACGGCGATGCCGGAAAAGGCAACAAGAAGTTATCGCTAATTTGTCGGCTTGACCTTCCTGTCTTTCCGCCTGGATACCAAACTTTTGGTACCAAGGTGCATTGCGCGAAGCGCCACTGCATTCGTGTGTATATATAGACATGGATGCATATATATATATATATATATATATATACATACATGTATACATATAGACATAACTACTTAAGAGTGCGTATATATAATATAATATATATATATATATATATAATATAGTTTGCCAGGGGAGGGCAGAACCACGACCACTGGTTTGCATGGCGGTCCGGGGGGGGGCATTGAGGGCTCCAAGAGGGCCCACAAGGGGCCCCGGACCCCCCCAGAGGCCCCCAAACTGGCCCAAGAAGCCCTCAAAGCGCCCCGGCTTGTCTGGAAGATGGCTGAAAAGCGCACTGAGATGGCATCAAGACGGCCCACGAGCGCTCGAAGACAGCCCAAGACTGCTCTTAGACGGCCACATCGGCCTTCAAGACGGTCCAAGAGGCCGCCCAGAAGGCCTCGTAAGGGCAAAAATCAAACATCTCCGATGGAAAGAACACATTTTCCAGGTATGTGTTCCAGTCTTAACAGAGGCCACGACGGCCCCAAAGGCTCCCAAAATCGGCCCCAGACGGCCCAAGATGCCCCCAAGAGGGCCCTAAGGCGGCCTGAAGAGAGCTTCAAGCAGCATAAGAAAGCCCTAAAACGGCCCTAAGAGAGTTCCCAGGGGGCCCGAGGGGGCCACCAGAGGATCCCTACATGTCGGAGGGGAACCCAAGAGGGCCCCAAGACGGGCTCAGCTCCTCATGACGGGCCAAGAGGGACCCGGGACGGCCGAAATAGGCCCCGAGACGAGCCAAAAAGGCCCAAAAGGATTCCCTAAAGACGGTCCAAAAGGCCGCCGAGAAGGCCCCCCAAGGGCAGGAATGAAGCACGGGCTCGAGAGAGCTTCAAGCAGCACAAGAGCGCCAAGACGGCCCCAAGGGAGTCTCAGGGGGCCCGAGGGGGCCACCAGAGGATCCCTACATGGTCGAAGGGGGCAACAAGAGGGCCCCAAGACGGGCTCAGCTCCCCATGACGGACCAAGAGGGACTCGTGACGGCTGAAATGGATCCTCCGACGGGCCCAAAAAGGCCCCAAAGGATTCCCTCGAGACGGTCCTACAGGCCGCCGAGAAGGCTCCCCCAAGGGCAAAAATCATGCGTTTCCGATGGGAAAACGTAGATCTCCAGGAGATTCGCTTTTTCAGTTTTAACAGCGGCCACGACGGCCCCAAAGGCTTTCAAAATCGGCCCCAGGTGGCCCAAAGGCCCTCAAGACGACTTAAAGAGAGCTTCAAGCGGCACAAGAGAGCTCCAAGACGGCCCTAAGAGAGTCCCAAGGGGGCCCGAGGGGGCCACCGGAGGATCCCCACATGGTCGGAGAGGGCTCCAAGACGGGCTCAGCTCCCCATAACGGGCCAAGAGGGACCCACGCAGTACACATTTGCAGCGAGAGATGGGTTCGCGTTTCATTCCGTTGTAATCTTCAACGATGGCGACTTCGATAACATGCTTGTCTTTCGTCTCTTTTATTTAGTAGTGGCAGGAAGCCATGGGGGCCAGCCGTGTAAAGTGTACAGGAATGATGGTTTGGTCTTCGCGCGTCCACCATGGACACCTGCGTCGTGGGGGGGAAACAGACGGCCCAAGAGGCACCCAGGACCGCCCAAGGCGGCCGAAGAGAGCGCCAGCAGAGGGAATTTCGAACCCACATGTCGAGGCCTCCGCCCTAAGAGGACCCTGACGATCGCCAGCAGGCCCCCAGGATGCCCCAAGACAGCTCCAAGAGGACCCTCCACAGAATCCGAAGAGGCAAAATCGCCCCGTTCCTTTGTGGGAAAGCGTACATTTCTATCGCAGCCGTTGTTTTCATGTGCCCAGCGTCCAAGACGGGCCCAGAGGCCCCTAGGAGAGTCCCTCAACGGCCGACGAGGTCCCCCAGAGAGCCCCAAGACGGCCCAAGAGGCACCCAGGACCGCACAAGAAGGCCCCAAGAGGGTGCTCGTGGGGGGGAATGCGAACCCATATTTCGAGGCCTCGGCCCCAAGAGGACCCCGAAGATCGCCAGCAGGCCCCCAAGGACCCCCCCCCGAGAGGAGCCAAGAGGGCCACAAGAGGCTCCGAAGAGGCCGCGAAAAGCGTCCCAAGAGGCTTCACCATTGTTTCCAACAGGCTGCCCAGAGGTGTCCCCAGAGACGCGAACAGGCATTCACGAAGTCTCACACCAACAAAACCCAGGCTGAGTGGCAGGATGTGCAGGAGGCCACCAGGAGGGGCACACGTGAACGAGGGGCACGGATGCCTTTCCTTTTTGTGTATTCCTCTTGCTGTTCGTCTTCAAGGACTCCACTTCTCCTTCTGCTCCTGCCCCTCCTTCCCGTTCTGCCCTCGTCTTCGCCGCCGTCATGCTCTTGGACTCTTCTCCCATGTCTCGACCTCCAAACCGCCCCCCTCGATATCTTCGTCGTCCTCCTGGAGCCCCCCGTGCTCAGGGAAGGGCTCTTCATCACGTGTTTTTGCAGCGCATTCGGGCTAAAGTCATATCCGCAACCGTCGCCTAGTCTTCGGCATCTCACTGCGCGCTGGGACTCTGGAGAACCTGAGCGCGCGCGAAGCGCCCGCGATGGTTGTAGTATGTATCTGCATTTACACATACATGTGTATAGATGTTTGCATGTCTGCATGCATGTATACATGCATGCATGCATGTATGTGTGTATGTGTGTATGAATGGATGCATGGCTGTATGGATGTATTGATGTATGGATGTATGGATGTATGTCTGTCTGTCTGTCTGTCTGTTTGTTTGTCTGTCTGTGTGTATGTATGTATGCATGTATGGATGTATGTATGTATGTATGTATGTATGTGTGTGTGCATGTATGTATGTATGTGTACGTACGTACGTATGTATGTGTATGCATGTATGTCTGTATATATACATATGTATATATATATATATGCGTGCGTGCATGCATACAAGTATGTAGGTATGTATGTTTGTATGTATACGTGTATGTATGTGTGTATGTATGTACCTATGTATGTATGTATGTATGTATGTATGCATGCATGCATGCATGCATGCATGCATGCATATATGTATATATGTGTGTATGTATGTATGTATGTATGTATGTATGTATGTGTGTATGTATGTATGTATGTATGTATGTATGTGTGTATGTAAGTATGCATGTGTGCATGTATGCATGTGTGCATGTATGCATGCATGCATGCATGCATGCATGCATGCATGCATGCATGCATGCATGTATGTATGTATGTATGTATGTATGTATGTATGTATGTGTTTGTCTGTGTGTATATGTGTATGTGTGTATGTGTGTATGTGTGTATGTATGTATGCATGCATGTCGGTGCAGATAGGTGTATAACTATGTATGTGTATGTAAATATAGATGTAAATACAAGACTGCGTTGGCGCTTCGCGCCATGCACCGTGGTCCTTGAAGTTTTGTACGCAGGCGAAATTGGCAGGAAGGCCGAACCTACAATTTAGCGATAGCTCCTTGCTCCCTTTTCCGGCGTCGCCGTTATAGTCATGTTATTCGTTGTCGCTCCTCCATTTGCATGTTTCCTCATTCTTGCCCTACCTTGCGAATTATTCCCCATCCTCCTCTCCCCATCCTCCTCAGCTCTTTTTGCAGAGGCTCCTCCTTGGAGAGCCTCTGGAGGCCTCACGGAGGTTTTCCAAGGCGTGAAGGCCTTCTGTAGGCCTCCTGAGCGTCTTTTGGGGGCCTTTGTAGGCTTCCTCGGGCCACCCTGCCTCCAACCGCGGTCTCCTCGAACGACCGGGTCAAGATTTGGAATGCTTCGGAGGCTGTCCTGGAGCCATATTTGGCCGTCATGGGGCTCTCTTAGGGCCATCTTGGACCCCTGTTGTGCCGTTTTGGGGCTCTCTTGGACTGCCTGGCAGCCTTTTCGGATGGTTTTGGGGCGATTTTCGAGCCTCCCAGGCGGTCCCGGACACCCAGAAAACCGAAGAACAGGGCATTCCCTTAATCATGCAAAGACCTTGGAACATACATGTTTTTCTGCATTTTGGAAGCCTCTTGGGGGTGTTCTTTGGGTCGTCTTCGGGCGTGAGTTGGGCACGCTGCCTACGCTCAGGATTGGGTTTCCAGGAGCTCTGAAACGCCGTGGGGCCTCCTGCAGGGGCGTCCAGGCGGTCCCAGGGGCCGAGGATTCGGGGGGTCCAGAGGGCCCCGGGGGCCTAGGATTCGGGGGGGTCGATTTCGGGGAGGGGGGGGGGTCCCAGGCAATTAGAATATATGAATGGGAATGCGTGTGATTCCTCGTGATCCAGTTGCCCGCGGACCACCGTGTCAGGACAGCATCGAACCTGCCGATGTCTGTCCTTGGGCAGACCAGGAGAGTGCTGTGGTGCTGTAGCCTGTCGGGGCTGCAGCGTTGCGTGGTTGGTCCGTTGCCTTTGGGGTGCCACAAAGGGGAGTCTGGGAGGTTTCTCTGGGGCTTTCTTGTGGTCTCTGCGGCCCTCTCGGGGGCCTCCTTCGGGCCCACTGGGGTCTTGGGGCCGTCTTTCGCGTGAGGATTCTTCCGAGGTCTCCCAGCAAAAGCTCGGTCGAACCACGTGGAGTCCGCGGGGGCGGGTCGCAGGGCCATCTTGGAGCCTTCGCTGGGCGGTCTGTGGGCCGTCCTGGTGTTGCCTTGGAGCCCCTGTTGGGCTGCCGTGGGGCCTCCGGGGGCCCTCGGGAGCCTTCCCGAGGCCACCTTAGGCAGAAAACTTCGGAAGCAAACTCGTGCCGTTTCCATGGTTTTTCTGATCACTGTTGTTCGCCACTTGGGCCCTCGCTGGAGGCCTCTTGGCACTCTTTGGGGCGTTCTTGGCCGAGTCTCGATGCATCTGGTCGAGTCTCGATGCCGTAGGCCGTCGTGAAGCTTTCTTGAGGCGGTCGTGGCTCGTCCTAATGGGGCGATCTGGAAGCGGTCGCGGCAAGGGGGGAGGGGGAGGAGGAGGAGCAGGAGGAGGAGGAGGAGGAGGAGGAGGAGGAGGGGTGTGTCTGCACGTGCAAAACGAGACACGCATGACCAGACAACTCACGGGCATCTGAACTCACACGCACCACGTGGCAAAGGTGCAGTGGTGGCTGTAGTCCTGCGCTCGCCTCCAGGAGCGCGTGCAGCAGGGCGGCCTCGACCAGATGGAGCACGTCAAGCGCCCACACTTGTTCACCGGCTCCTGGATGATTGACGTCTCCACGCACCAGCAGCTGCTGGGGCAGACGTTCAAGTACGTCCCTGGCCCAGAGGTCTGCCTGAGAGTGTTCAACCTCCTGCGGCCCCCGGAGTCGTTTCCACCGACGAGGGGAGACGAGAAAGACATCCTGCGGCACTACGGCGAAGAGCTCGACGCAGCCAAGCCATGGGATGGCGCCGACCCGTACAACACCGCCATAGTCAAGGACGAGGACGACGTCACAGGTGCCCGCAAGGTGGAGCTTCTGAGGAAGATCCAAGATCAGAGGCAACAGCTGGAGGCTCAGGAGAGCCTCGTGGAGGAGCTGAGGCGCAGGTGCGAGCAGCTGAAGCTGGAGCTGCACGACCCCGAGTCCACGCGGGCGTTGCGAGCCCAGGTCCACGAGGCGCACCGGCAGCTCACGGTGCAGGGCGACGAGCTCCAGGAGGTGCAGGGCCAGGCGAAGATGCTCGAGGCCACGGCGATCGGGCTGAGGGAACACCTGCAGGAGGAGAAGGGGCGCAGCGCCGAGCTCCTGGCGCAGCAGGTCAAGGTGCGCACGCAGCTGGAGGCGGCGCAGAAAAGGATAGGCTGGGAGCGCTCCCTGGAGATCGCGCTGGAGCAAGAGAGGGAGAAGCTGGCCGGGGCCCAGGAGTACTTCCAGCAGTGCCTGCGGGACGCCGAGGCCGTGAAGAACGGCGCAGTGGAGGCCCTGCAGCTGCAGGTTTCCGAGCTGCAGGAGCGGGGGGGAGTGAGGAGCTGATTCTTTAGGCTTACCCCACATCCGCCGACCCCTATATAAACTATTGCGCCTCCAGGACTGCGTTTCACGAGGCTTGTCCGAATCATGACACGGCGCTCGACATCGTTCCTATTGCTTCGTTGCTGTTATCGTACCTCTTGGTGCTCTTTTGTGGCCTTTTGGTGGCATCTTGGCCTGTCTGCAGGCCGTATCCGGCCGCCTCGAGGCATCTTGGGCCAAGTTTTGGAGCCTCTTGGGGGCGTCCCGGGGGCTTCTTGGAGGCCTTTGAAGTTTTCTTGGGGGTCCCTCAGGGCCTCTTGGGGTGTTCTTGGGGCAGGCTGGGGGCGTCTTGGGGCCGAAGGCTCGACAAGGTGCCTTCTGGACTCCCTGTTGGAGCCGTCTGGGGGCCCTCTTGGGCTGTCTCGGGGGCTTCGTGGGCTGTCTTGGGACCACTTTCGACCCCTCTTGGTGGCCCCGATATTGAAGGTTTCTTTGCCCCTCTTGGACTGGACGTTGTGAAAGCCGAAAAGGCGAGTATGCAAAAAATGCTGTGTTTTCCCAGGGAATGGGACGATTTCTGCTTCTTGGGACTTTCTTTGGACGCATCTTGGGGGCCTTTTGTGGCGTCTTGGCAGCTTCGGAGGCCGTCTGGAGGCCATCGTGGGCGTCAAGGAGCGATATTTCGGTGACCCGTGGCCCTCTTGGGCCGTCTGGGAGGCGTCTTGGTGCCTTCCTGGCTCATTGTGGCCCCCCCCCCTTGGCGCGCATTGTCCGGTGTCGTGCCGGGCCCGGGGAGGGGGGGGTCAAATTGCCGCTTTGGGGTCCCGGGGGGGGAATTATGGGGGGGAACTATCTCGCGCGCCTAGAGACCCGCAAGGGGTCGGCGGATTTTACTTCCTCGGGCCCCCAAGGCACCCCCGGAAGGCCCCAAGAGGCCCTCCCACGAGACCCCAAGAGGCCTCCCAACAAGGCCGCTTGTCCACCAGTCTGGCCGAAGGCCACTATACACGCTACACATAGTTTGGGCCGACGGAGTCAGCGAGGCGATGGACTTCGGCGAGGGCCCCCTGCGGGCCGTCGCCGCGTTAGAACTCGAGGATCGGTTATGAGATAGAGTCGGGGCGCCGAGGAAGGAACCCTTTTCCGTTGCGGAGGGGCTCCGCGTTCCTCTAAGTGTTTCACAGCTTGCCTCAGGTTTTCTTTTTAGGTCTTCGATGGGACATCGAAGTTTAACTTAAGGAAGAAGGGGGCCTCGTTCCTCATATTTATCGTTCCTCAGGTCAACGCCCCGACGGTAGAGGATGCGTTGGAGGAGGGGGAGAAGCATGCGCGGAGCGTGCGAGGGGCGGCTCCGCGCACTCCGCCAGGCCCCGACGAGGGCAGCCGCACCTCCAGTCGTGCTCTCGCACGTGAGAATACGAGTGATCCTCGCCCTCCTCCTCCTCCTCCTCCTCCTCCTCCTCCTCCTCCTCCTCCTCTCCCTCCTCGTCCTCGTCCTCCTCCTCCTCCTCCTCCTTCTCCTCCTCCTCCTCCTCCTCGAAGGATCCTCCTCGAGGGGTCTTGGGGCATGGCATGCGAACATACGAGCGATCCGCGCCCCAAGGCTCCTGGGAGACGCAAGACTGCGCTGCACATGATTGGCACTTCCGATTATCTTGGGAAGCATTGTACCTGTAAGGTGTGTTCCCACAGCCTCAAATTGCCGTGGCGCTCGGGACATCCTGGACACATCGGCTTCGGAGGGAATATCAAAAACTGTCCCTTCGCTCGGGACGTCCTCGACAATTCGGCTTCGGAGAGGACTCTGAATTTCAAAAATGGCAGTTTCGCTAGGGACTGCTTCGACAAAAGTAAGCCTCGGAAAGGGACTGCGAGTCTCAATCATGATTGTTTCGCTCGAGACATCCTCGGGACGCCAACTTGGCCCCAACGATTGATATCGGCCCTCGTCGAGGCAATATCCCGACCTCCCCAGGACGACAGTTTTTCCTCTTGGGCCTGGACATGATGCCTTCAGCTGTTGCGCCGGCCAACTGAGTCGGTGCGGATCCGAATTCGGATGTTGTGGATACGATGTCCGTCCTGTTTTTTCATGCGGATCCGACTTATACCCTGTTGCACATTTTGAATATCAAGCTACATCAGGTGACGGACGGAAATCGGATCCGCGGCATCCAAGCCCGCCGCTGTTAAGATGATACGGGGGAAGGGGCCCAATCAATCCTCCCCGCACGCTGGTCGCACCCATCATGAATGCATTTCTCCTCACCCCTGGCTGCTGCAAGCATCTTGTCCAAACGCCGCGCGCAGATGCTCTCTCGCCAACCGCGTGTCCCCGTTGGCGCCTCAAGAGGAACATCTCTCGTCCTGGGTAGGTGCGTTTTCGGCCTGCGCTTCCCGGCCCAACGCGTGGCGCATGCGCCGACGTCGCGCGTCCTGAGTGCCGCCGCAATGGATTCCCGCGCTGGGCCCGCCGCCGAACGAGCACATGGATGGAGGGCCACATTTTTTGCGCCAGCATGCCGCAGCGCGATCTGGCGCCCACTGCAACGCTAGACAACGAGCGGGGTTGCCCTTGGGTGGCGGGTTGCGGCGTGACCCACGTCGGGCCCAAGTCCACGGCGCGGACTTTTGCGAGGATGTCCCGAGAGAGAGCTCTTGACTGTGCGCCGCGGTAATGAGCGCGAGGCGTGGCGAGTCCGAGAGCCAAGACGCCCATCCCCAGGACGAAAAAGCGTTTCCTTCTTGGACTCGGACATGATGCCTTCAGCCGTTGCGCCGGCGCGCCTTTAAAAAAACCATAGCGGATCCAATTCAGTCGGTGCGGATCCAAGTTTGGTTTGGATGTGTGGCTCGGTTGATCAAATTCCGGAGGGACCCCCCCCAGGATCCTCCCAGGGACCACCCCCAGGACCCAGCCTGGGACCCAGCCCGGGACCTCCCCCAGGACCCCCCCGGGACCACTCCCAGAACCCCACCCCCCTCCCAGGGCGGGAAATGATCAAAGGGAAGGGGCATCCCTTCGACTCAACGACGACGTTGTTCAATTTCGCTTTGGTTTCGCTTTGGCTGGCTCGCTTGAGGAGGAGGGCCCAGTGAAGGGGGGGGGAGCGGCGACGGGCCCAGGGACAGGGAGGTCAAAAGCGACGGCGACGACGACGACGACAAGGACCATGACGACGACGACGACGACGACGACAAGGACGACGACGACGACGACGGCGACGACGATGACGACGTCGAATCAAACAGAACAGCGTCTTCCACACGCCGACATGTGTTTCGATGAAGCCAAGTTCTACTAATTCTCATGGGGCGCGTAAAGATACAAGTCAAATGCGCTCCCAGGGCTCGGCCCCTGTGCGTGACAGCTCCTGGCGCACGTAAAAATACACGTGATCTGCGCCCCCACGGCTACGAAAGCTTCGATTCGGCACACCCCTCACGCATTTCCTTTCTGATGTTGATCTGGGACGCGTGCACATACGAGGAAGCAACGCCTTCATGGCTCCGAGTGATCTGCGCTCCGAGGCCGTTCGATTCCCCCATAGGACGCCAACATGGCCCCAAGGAGCATTGCAACGATTGGTGCCGACCCTCGTCGAGGCAGTATCCCGAACATCCACTGGTTACAAAACTTGTGTGCAAGCTTCCCCCCGGGGGCCCCCTGCGGGCCTCGGCGTGTCGTAGGACCCGATGGTAGATGATGGGGTGATGATGGAATGGGGGATGGCGAGAAGCATGGAAAAGGCATGCTAAGCGCGGCCCCGCTCATTCCGACGGCCCATTCTCGTGGGACGCGTACACATACGAGTGAAACGTGTTCCGATGGCCCCGAATGGCCCGTTTCGCTCGGGACGTCCTCGACACGTCGGCTTCGGAGGAGACTCTGAATCTCACAATTCGGTTCGCTCTGGGCATCCTCGGCAACTCGGCTTAGCTGGCCTCCAAGACCGCCTAACCCCCCAAGGGGCGCAAATACGCCCCAAAGAAGCTTTGCAACGATTGGTGCCGACCCTCGTCGAGGCAGTATCCCTAATTCCCACTGGTTGCAATATCTATTGGCATCGCTCGGACGTGTGCATTTTTCCTTCGGCGAGGGCCATCGAGGAGCATCCTTGATCATTTGGCGAAAAAACCACGCACGAAACCGAGCAAAAACACAGGGAATGGACGTCCGAGCGATGGCGAGATCTGCGTGCAAGCTTCCCCCCTGGGGGGCCCGCCGTCACTCCTGCCCCGCGGGCTCGATAAGGAGTCGACCTCTCTCCCCGGCGCAAGTGAATCGTCGGCGGGTCCACCTGGCGGAAGATTGGCGGAAGCCGGCGGAAGAAAAATAGGAGGAGGAGGAGGAGGAGGAAGAGGGAGGAGGAGGAGGAGGAGGAGGAGGAGGCAGAGGAGGAGAAGGATGATGATGATGATGATGATGATGATGATGATGATGATGATGATGATGATGATGATGATGATGATGATGATGATGATGATGATGAGGAGGAGGAGGAGGAGGAGGAGGAGGAGGAGGAGGATCCACCCAAGATATGTCAACGGAGTTGGATTCGGGGTTCCGGTAACTTCAACATATCAGAAAAGCATTATGATTGTTCCCCATCGTCTGGATGGTGTCTTTTTTTGCCACCACCTCGAATGAGAAGGCAAAGTGTGATCATGATTGTGTAGCCATTGGATATTTCTTTTCCGCTTGGAGGAGCAACTTCGCGCCGCGACGGAGAGGGGACAGCATGCCCTATTCGTGGACGCCGAGTTGGAGCAGCTGAGGCGCGAGGTGGAGAGGTTGAAGCAGGAGGGAACTGAGGCGAAGGACCGGAACAAGAAGGAGAAGGCGGCGGCGGAGGAGTGGCGGAAGAAGTGTTCGCAGCTGGAGATGGAAAGGGTGGAAGAGCAGCGGGCGTATCAGACCAAAGTGGCCGACCTTCAGCGGGAGAAGCTGGCTCTTGAGAAGCTGGTTGCGAATTGGAAGGATGCGGCGAAAAAGACGTCGCCCGTTCTGGACTTGCTGGTCCCGACCAGTAGATCTGACCAGGCGCCCGCAGAGCCCGCAGAGTTCATGGGCGACGTTCACGTTGCTATCATCAGCGCAACTGGTCTGCGGGATGCAGATGGGGCTGGCATGGGCAAGTCCGACCCGTACTGCACCTGCATGCGGAAAGGGGCACCGTCCACAGAGAATTTGCTGAGGACGGAGGTCCAGGACAGCACTCTGCAGCCGACGTGGAACTTCACCGGTGTGATCAAGGGGTTCAGCGTGAAAGGGGGAGCGCTGCTCTTCGAGGTGCGGGACCAGGACCCTGGACGAAGCGACACTCTAGGGCGAGCAGAGTTGAGTATGCAGGAAGCGTGGTTCAAAGGCAACCAGGGACATTTCTTGGAGGAGACCCTTCAGTTGGAAAATGCGGGCGCCAGTGCTTCCGCCACGCTGAAAGTAATTGTAGTGGTGGTCCCTGTGTCTGCAACTAAGGAGAGGCGGGCCCAGCTAATGGGGGTTCTGCAAGACATCGGCGCCGATTTCAAGGGGGAAGTCCATGTGGCCATGGTCAGCGCTGCAGGCTTGCGAAATGCGGATCAGGTCTTGGGCATGGGCGGGAAGTCCGATCCATATTGCACCTGCAAGCCAAGATTGGCACCGAAGAAGGCCAAGGCGTTGAAGTCTCAGACCATCCAAGAATCCTTGCACCCTGTGTGGAATTTCACAGGGCAAGTGGCAGGGGTTAGCGCAAAGGGCGATGCTCTCATCTTCGAGGTGTTCGACGAGGACGCCGCCAGTGGATCCGACAAGCTCGGGCGAGCCGAGGTGAACTTGGAGGATGGCTGGCTTCGAGGCGGGCACTCTCAGGAAATGGAGCTCACCCTGCTGGATGCAGGCAAGGGCACAACTGCCACATTAAAGGTGATCGTGGTGGTTGTCCCGACTGGTGCAACTCAAGAGAAGCGGGCCCAGCTAATGGGGGTTCTGCAAGACATCGGCGCCGATTTCAAGGGGGAAGTCCATGTGGCCATGGTCAGCGCTGCAGGCTTGCGAAATGCGGATCAGGTCTTGGGCATGGGCGGGAAGTCCGATCCATATTGCACCTGCAAGCCAAGATTGGCACCGAAGAAGGCCAAGGCGTTGAAGTCTCAGACCATCCAAGAATCCTTGCACCCTGTGTGGAATTTCACAGGGCAAGTGGCAGGGGTTAGCGCAAAGGGCGATGCTCTCATCTTCGAGGTGTTCGACGAGGACGCCGCCAGTGGATCCGACAAGCTCGGGCGAGCCGAGGTGAACTTGGAGGATGGCTGGCTTCGAGGCGGGCACTCTCAGGAAATGGAGCTCACCCTGCTGGATGCAGGCAAGGGCACAACTGCCACATTAAAGGTGATCGTGGTGGTTGTCCCGACTGGTGCAACTCAAGAGAAGCGGGCCCAGCTAATGGGGGTTCTGCAAGACATCGGCGCCGATTTCAAGGGGGAAGTCCATGTGGCCATGGTCAGCGCTGCAGGCTTGCGAAATGCGGATCAGGTCTTGGGCATGGGCGGGAAGTCCGATCCATATTGCACCTGCAAGCCAAGATTGGCACCGAAGAAGGCCAAGGCGTTGAAGTCTCAGACCATCCAAGAATCCTTGCACCCTGTGTGGAATTTCACAGGGCAAGTGGCAGGGGTTAGCGCAAAGGGCGATGCTCTCATCTTCGAGGTGTTCGACGAGGACGCCGCCAGTGGATCCGACAAGCTCGGGCGAGCCGAGGTGAACTTGGAGGATGGCTGGCTTCGAGGCGGGCACTCTCAGGAAATGGAGCTCACCCTGCTGGATGCAGGCAAGGGCACAACTGCCACATTAAAGGTGATCGTGGTGGTTGTCCCGACTGGTGCAACTCAAGAGAAGCGGGCCCAGCTAATGGGGGTTCTGCAAGACATCGGCGCCGATTTCAAGGGGGAAGTCCATGTGGCCATGGTCAGCGCTGCAGGCTTGCGAAATGCGGATCAGGTCTTGGGCATGGGCGGGAAGTCCGATCCATATTGCACCTGCAAGCCAAGATTGGCACCGAAGAAGGCCAAGGCGTTGAAGTCTCAGACCATCCAAGAATCCTTGCACCCTGTGTGGAATTTCACAGGGCAAGTGGCAGGGGTTAGCGCAAAGGGCGATGCTCTCATCTTCGAGGTGTTCGACGAGGACGCCGCCAGTGGATCCGACAAGCTCGGGCGAGCCGAGGTGAACTTGGAGGATGGCTGGCTTCGAGGCGGGCACTCTCAGGAAATGGAGCTCACCCTGCTGGATGCAGGCAAGGGCACAACTGCCACATTAAAGGTGATCGTGGTGGTTGTCCCGACTGGTGCAACTCAAGAGAAGCGGGCCCAGCTAATGGGGGTTCTGCAAGACATCGGCGCCGACTTCAAGGGGGAAGTCCATGTGGCCATCGTCAGCGCTACAGGCTTGCGAAATGCGGATCAGGTCTTGGGCATGGGCGGGAAGTCCGATCCATATTGCACCTGCAAGCCAAGATTGGCACCGAAGAAGGCCAAGGCGTTGAAGTCTCAGACCATCCAAGAATCCTTGGACCCTGTGTGGAATTTCACAGGGCAGGTGGCAGGGGTTGGCGCAAAGGGCGATGCTCTCCTCTTCGAGGTGTTCGACGAGGACGCCGCCAGTGGATCCGACAAGCTCGGGCGAGCCGAGGTGAACTTGGAGGATAGCTGGCTTCGAGGCGGGCACTCTCAGGAAATGGAGCTCACTCTGCTGGATGCAGGCAAGGGCACAACTGCCACATTAAAGGTGATCGTGGTGGTTGTCCCGACTGACGCAACTCAGGAGAAGCGGGCCCAGCTAATGGGGGTTCTGCAAGACATCGGCGCCGACTTCAAGGGGGAAGTCCATGTGGCCATCGTCAGCGCTACAGGCTTGCGAAATGCGGATCAGGTCTTGGGCATGGGCGGGAAGTCCGATCCATATTGCACCTGCAAGCCAAGATTGGCACCGAAGAAGGCCAAGGCGCTGAAATCTCAGACCATCCAAGAATCCTTGAACCCTGTGTGGGATTTCACAGGACAGGTGGCAGGGGTTAGCGCAAAGGGCGATGCGCTCCTCTTCGAAGTGTTCGACGAGGACGCCGCCAGTGGATCCGACAAGCTTGGGCGAGCAGAGGTGAACTTGGAGGATGGCTGGCTTCAAGGCGGGCACTCTCAGGAAATGGAGCTCACCCTGCTGGATGCTGGAACAAACATCACTTCCAAACTAAATGTGATGATTGTGGTGGTTCCGGCGGCTGCTTCGCAGGATGAGAAGGCGAAGCTCATGGGCATCTTGCAGACTGTTGGTGTTGCATTCAAGGGCCAAGTTCACGTTGCCATCGTTCGAGCCAAAGGTTTGCGAGCAGCGGACCCGAAGATTCTCGGTTTGGGTGGTAAGTCAGATCCGTATTGCACATGCAGACGCGGAAGAGCATCGCCGAAGGACAAGCCAGCTTTGAAGACGCATACTATCTCTAAGACGTTGGATCCCGAATGGGATTTCCCCCCCACCGTGGTAGAAAACATTGCCGCGAAGGGTGATTCATTACTTTTCGAGGTGTTTGACGAGGACAAAATCAACGCAGACGACAAGTTGGGAAAGGTCGACATTCCTCTAAAGGACGAATGGCTTCTGACGGGGTACTCAGAGGAGCTGACGTTGCCTCTGCAGGAGGCTGGGAAGGACATCAAGGCGGAACTGACGGTGAAGGTGATCGTTATACCTGCTGGTGCGCCTGAGGACTTACAAGCGAAGTTGCTTGGGAAGTTGTGTCACGCTTGCGTGGTGTCTATACACGCACAGGGCTTGCGAGCGGCAGATTGGAGTCTGATGGGTAAGGCCAAGTCGGATCCCTATGTCAAGTGCAAAATACGCGATGCCAGCGATGTGTTATTTAAGACGCTTCGCGATCACTTCTCTTTGCTTTCGTTCTCGCAGAGCCTGTGTTGACCCTAGGAAAGGCCTGGAACGGCCTCAATATAGCGAAGACCAGCCCCAGGACTGGGCAAGATGGCAGTCGCGGCCCTGTGGTTTCAAGGGAGGCCACAACAGGCTGGGACCCCAAGAGAGCGCCAAGCGGTCTCCAGAGGACCTTGACGGAGCCCCAGGGTGGACCCGAACACACGGCGGGTTTATCAACCACCGCAGTAGGAGCAGCAGTAGGACGAATGTCGCCCAGCGAGCTCCAGGGCCCATGACACCTGCGCGCGGTTTCGAACGTCGCGTCAGCATGCCGAAGCGCGAATTCGAGATGTTCCAGAGGAGCGTTTTTTTTCACAACGAACTGTCAATACATACGTACCCATCGGTCGTTGAAAGTAAACGTTTTTCCCAAATCAGAGCTTGCCTCTGTAGGGGTCCTAGCGGATTCATATGGTTAGGTGAGGTTTGTCACCGATTTCCGCGGCCCGCCCGGGTGCCCAGGTGCCCAGGTGCCCTGGTGCCCTATAGCCTCATAGTCTTATAGCCCTATAGCCGTATCGCCCTAGAGCCCTATAGCCCTCTAACCCTATAGCCCTATGGCCTTATAGCCCTATACCCCTATAGCCCCATAACCCTATAGCCCAGTATTCCTATAACCCCATGCCCCTGTAGCCCTACAGCCCTATAGCCCAATAGCCCAAGAGCCCTATAGCCCGATAGCCCGATAGCTCTGTATGCCTATAGCCCCATAGCCCTATATCCCTACCTATACGACCACCCTTCGGGTGATAAGGAGGTCGTGGGGGGGTAGAGGTGGGGGAACCAACATTTGACTCAATCGATCTCACTATCAATCTCGCTTAATGGGACACCACGGGACACCACGGGACACCACGGGACACTTGTCGATCTCACTATCGGTCTCACTATCGATCTTACTCAATGGGACACCATAGGACACCACGGGACACCTCGGGACACCACGGGACACCTCTCGATCCCACTATCGGTCTCACTATCGATCTCACTATAGATCTCACTCAACGGGACACCATAGGACACCACGGGACATTTCGGGGCACCACATCGATCTCAGTATTTATCTCAATATCGATCTCACTATCGATCTCATTCAACGGGACACCACGGGACACCACGGGACACCTGTCGATCTCACTATCGATCTCATTATCGATCTCACTTCTTAGGCAACCACGGGACACCTCGGGACATCGATAGCAGTATCGATCGCACTATCGATCTCACTACCGATCTTACTCAACGGGACACCACAGGACACCTGTCGATCTCACTATCGATCTCATTGTCGATCTCACTATCGATCTCACTCAACGAGCCACCACGGGACACCACGGGACACCGCGGGACACCTCTTGATCTCACTATCGGTCTAACTATCGATCTCACTATCGATCTCACTCAACGGGACACCATAGGACACCACGGGACACCTCGGGGCACCTCATCGATCTCACTATCGATCTCACTATGGATTTCACTATCGATCTCACTATCGATCTCACTCAACGGGACACCACGGGACACTTCGGGACACCACATCGATCTCACTATCGATCTTACTTTTTGGGACACCACGGGACATTTCGGGGCACCACATCGATTTCACTATCGATCTCAGTATCGATCTCAATATCGATCTCACTCAATGAGGCACCACGGGACACCACGGGACACCTGTCGGTCGATCTCATTATCGACCTCTTTATCGATTTCACTTTTTGGGACACCACGGGACACCACGGGACACTTCGGGGCACCACATCGATCTCAGTATCGATCTTACTATCGATCTCAGTATCGATCCGCCGATCTTACTCAACGGGACATCTCGGGACACCACGGGACACCACGGGACACCGCGGGACACCGCGAGCCACCGCCAGACGGACGGACGGACGGGCGGGCGGGCGGGGGAGAATCATTTGTCTTGACTTCGCCCTAGCAACGGCGGACACCACGGGACACCGAGACACCACGGGACACCACGGGACACCACGGAACACCGCGGGACACCGCGGGACACCGCCGAACGGGCGGGAGGGGGAGAATCATTTGTCTTGACTACGCCCTAGCAACGGCGGACACCACGGGACACCACGGGACACCGCGGGACACCGCGGGACACCGCCGAACGGGCGGGAGGGGGAGAATCATTTGTCTTGACTACGCCCTAGCAACGGCGGACACCACGGGACACCACGGGACACCGCGGACCGCGAGCCACAGCCGGACGGGCGGACGGACGGGCGGACGGGGGAGAATCATTTGTCTTGACTTCGCCCTAGCAACGGCGGACACCACGGGACACCACGGGACACAGCGGGCCACCGCGGGCTAGCAACGGCGGACACCACGGGTCACCGCCTGACACTGCGGGACACCGCGAGCCACCGCCGGACGGCCGTGCGGGTGGGGGAGAATCATTTGTCTTGACTACGCCCTAGCAACGGCGGGTTCATTCCTCTCGCCCGCCCACGCAGCTTCGCCTCGCCCGCACGCACGACACGAACGAAACGAAACGATTTCCTGGTTGGGGGTCTCCGTTCCATTGCGATCTCACCCCCCAACCTCTGATAGTTCCATAGCCCTATAGTCCCATAGCCCCATCGCCCTACAGCCCAATTGTCCATATCCTTATAGCCCTAAAAAGACTTCGATTTGGGCTTTTCTCCGGTATCATTGGTTTACATATTCCAATATACTTTAGGCGCCTTCCATTTTCAATGATCGAGTGGCTTCACCGTTTCCGTCCTCTTTAGTGGGCGGGCGGGTACCGGGTACCCAATCTACTTTCAATGCCTTCCTACTTCATGTTTCTACATACTTCTTCCGACCGATGGGTACGGCTGGGCTCTACCATTTTCGGGATGATGGAGTTTGTCGTCGGTGAGCCTGGGGGGGAAGCGAAAAGGGGCAGGCCTTCTCAGAAGGCTCGGAAGTCCTCCGGCCTTCTGAGAAGTTTTCTAGGCCTTCCCCCAAGACACCGAAAACCTCTCAGAAGGCCGGAGGGCTTCTGAGAAGCCCCGCCGCTTTCTGAGAAGGCCTTCTCCTTCTCACTTCTCCCCCTCGCTCGCCGCCGAATGATGGAGTTGGCGTTTGGAGGGAACGTGTCAGTTTCGGCGTGACTTGGGGCATCGGATGAGCCAGAGCCCCTGTGTTCCTCGCTTTCGCTTCCCCGAGCGTCGCCAGCATCAATAATTCACACTAGTGCGCATCGTATGCACAGGGTCTCGTGCGTCGTTGTGTCTGTCTTTGCGAAGGCCAGCGTGGACGTACGTAGATTGACATGTAGTGCGGTATGGTATGCACGGAAGACGCCTACGTACGGCGAAACACCGCCGCCCCCTGCCTGTTAGGATACGCCTATGTGGCCGAACGTTGTGGCCAGAGCTCGGCCACGCTATCGGACTGTGTGTTCCCCAGTCGTCGTGGGAACCCTTCAGAGAACACTTTGGGGGAGAAAGAAGAAGAGGAGGAGAGGGAGGAAAATGGAGGAGTAGGCCTCTTGGGAGACTCGTGGGGGCACTCTTGGCTTGGGGCATCCTGGGAGCTTCTTGGGATCCTCTTTGGGGCACTTTTGGGCGCTCTTGGACCTCCTGGAGGCCTTTAGAGACTCCTTGGGAGGCTCTTTGGCCGTCTCATGACATTCCTGGCCCGTCTGACGCCGTCTTAGGGGCCTCTCTGGGCCGACTTGGGGCCCTCTTAGGGCGCTTCAGGTCCGTCTCGGGGGCCATCTTGGCCGTCTTGGGGATCTCCTGGGCCGTCTTGGGGCCCTGTTGGGCGGTCGAAGCCTCTTGCGCGTTCTTGGGGCCATCTTGGTGGCCTCTAGGGCCGTCTTGGGCCGTCGGAAAGCAAAATATGAGCAAGTGCTATAATCCTTGCAAAAACATGAGAGCCACAATGATTTGGGCCTCCTCGGGCCTTCCTGGAGGTCCTCCTGGAGGTATCTTGGGCAGTCTTGGAGGCCTCTTGGGCCGTCCTGCGCGATCTTGAGGCCATCTTGGGCCACTTTGAGGGCACCTCGGCCCGTCTTGGAGACATGTTGGGATTACCTTGGGCTCTCCTTGGGGCTGGCGTGGTCCGAAGAAGAATCTGCTTGTGCTGGCCGAGATGCTCGAGGCAATTGGCTGGCCTGACGCCCGGCTCGTTGGGGACCTACAGAACAGTTTCCCACTTCTGGGCCAAATTCCGCTTTCACACGGTTTACAGAGAATTCCGGCTCGTAAAACAACACCTCGGCCGTCTCGCGGGCCATCTTCGGGCCGCCGGGAGCGGACAGGCGGAGGACCCGGGGCAGCGCGTGGGTCTCTCTGTGCGGCGGGGAGCCCACGGGAGACGTCTTCTGCGCCGAGCCGGCGCACCAGGCCGAGCGCCCCCACGGGAACCGTGGAAAGAACCAGCACGTGATCTACACAATGCTCATGCCTGGTTCTTCGATGGTTCTTGACTTTTGGGGGGGCACAGGATCCTTTCGTTTCTAATCGTTCTACCCTGGGCCTTTTCCTGGCCACTAGGGGGCCAGGAACCATTGGAAACGAGCACGACAGGAAAGGAGCACAATCAGAAATGAACGACGTGTAAAAATTTTGCACGCCGTGCACCCTTCGGGCACGCCGACGGGGGGCGGCGGATCGAAGACGCCTGCGGCGGATCACCGCCGCCACCTGCTTTTTGATGAGATGCGCCCGTATGGCCAAGCGTTGTGGCCAGAGCTCGGCCACGCTATTGGACCATGCGTTGCCCTGGCCGTTGTGGGAGCCCTTCGTGGAACACGCGGGGGAGGAAGAGAAGGACGTGGAGAGGGAGGGCAAAGGAGGATGAATAGAAGGATGAGGGGAACTCTTGGGAACTTCTTGGGCCATTCTGGGGGCCTCCTGGGAGCTTCCTGGGGGCCTCTTGGAGGCCTCTTGTGGGTCTCCTTGGGCCTCTTGGGGGC